CAAGCTGATCGACCAGAAGAAGGACAAGCGCCTGGCCTACCTGCTGCAGCAGACGGACGAGTACGTGGCCAACCTGACCGAGCTGGTGAGGCAGCACAAGGCGGCCCAGGTGGCCAAGGAGAAGAAGAAGAAGAAGAAGAAGAAGGTGGGAGGAAGGAGAAGCCCCGGGAAAGGCACCGGGGGGGCTCCCGGAGGGAGCGCCGGGGCCACCGCCCGGCCTGACCCTGCTCTTGCTTCTCCTTCTCCCCCTGCTCTTCCTGCTTCTCCTCTTTCTTTCCTTTCTCTTCCTTTGTTTTTTTCCTCCTCTTCGTCTTCCTCCTCTCTCTTCCTCTTACCTCTTCCTGCTCTCCTTCCTCTTCCTCTTCCTCCTCTTCCTTTCTCTTCCTTTCGCTTTTTCCCTTTTTTTCTTCCTTTCTTTTTTTTTCTTCCTCTTCCTCCTCCCTCTTCCTCCTCCCTCTTCCCACTCTCCTTCCTCTTCCTTTTTCTCCTCTTTTTCCTCTTCCTTCCTCTTCTTTTCTCTTTCTCCCACTTTTATCCTTTCTCTTCCTTTCCTTTTTTCCCTTCTCTTCCCTTCTCTTCCCGTTCTTCTTTCTCTTCCTCTTCTTCCTTTCCTTTCACTTTTTTCCTCTTTCTCTTCCTTTTTTTTCCCTCCTCTTCCTCTCCCTCTCCCTCTCCCTCTCTTTCCCTGTCCCTGTGCCCGTCTGTCCCGCAGAAGGCGGAGAACGCCGAGGGTCAGGCTCCGGCCATCGGCCCCGACGGGGAGGTGAGTCCGGGCTCGTCCCAGGAAGGGAATTCCCAATCCCTGCTCTCTCCCCCGGGTTCCGGGACCGGCAATTCCCGGTTTTTCCCGGTTTTTTGCAGCCTCTGGACGAGACAAGCCAGATGAGCGACCTGCCCGTGAAGGTGATCCACGTGGAGAGCGGGAAGATCCTCACCGGGACCGACGCGCCCAAGGCCGGGCAGCTCGAGGCCTGGTTGGAGATGAACCCGGGGTATGGGAATTATGGGAATAATGGGAATGGGGATGGGAATGGGGGCAGCTCGAGGCCTGGCTGGAGATGAACCCAGGGTCAGGGAATAGTGGGAATAATGGG